GATGGGGCTTTAAGATTATTACTATATGTCATAGATATAATAATATTTCCTATTTGTAATTCTTTAGATGTTGACAGTTAATAAATGAAAAAATTTGAAAACTTTAGAATTATTATAATATAATACTGCAAGATAATTTTTTCTTTTTATTGGGAGCTTTTTCAACTTCTATTTCTAAATTTTAGGTCAAATTATTAGTTTGACGATTTCATTATGTATTCAAAAACTGGTCACATATTATCGGAATCAGAACTTGATTCAGGTAGTTCCTTTTGTTTACTTTTGCCTTGTCCTCTACTATCGCAAGATAATTTTTTTTTTTTATTAGGAGCTTTTTCAACTTCCAATTCTAACAATTTTAGGTTGAATTATTAGTTTTGCAATTTTTATTATATATTCAAAAACTGGTCACATACCATCAGAATCAGAACTTGATTCAGGTAGTTCTTTTTGTTTGCCTTTATCTTGCTCTCTACTATCATAATCAGATTTACATTTCAATTTCTTTCATAAGATAAAATTTTATTTATATTAATGATAACATGCATTTAATAAGAATCAGTTATATTGCTTTCAACTAAAATTCTTACTTGTTTATAATTTGGTAGTTCAACACTCTCTATCAGAACAATTGGATATCGAGTATTCTTTTACGAAATTTTAATAAGGAAGGTTTTGTCATTATTGAAGGTATTCAAGTATGAATATAATAAATTTCTAACCTCTTCAGAAATAATTTTATCATTAATCTTGTCACTAATCTGCTGGCTGCTTTCTTCTGATAGATTATCATTATTTGATAAGATATTTGTTGGCTTTAGTTTCATAAAATAATAGTTAAAATGTTGATTCTAATAAGTTTAATTTGAGTATTTATATGTTTGAATATTTTTGCCTTTTGTTTTAATTGATTTTGGAGTTTACAATTATCACAATACAATTTCTCAGTAGAAATTTTTAGATTTCAGGCAAGAAAGTTGCATTCTTCACATGCTAGTAAATCAGATAATCCTTCATTTTCATTAACACTTTCTTGCTAAATTATTGAATTTTGATCCTTCATTATTAACATCAAATTACGTAGTATTTTACCGATATAAAAATATGATGAATTTTTTTACCTCATTATAAGAAGAAATTGAAGATACGTTATTAGCACCCTTTTTAATGATAATAATTCAGTCAATATAATAATCATTAAAATTCAAGAATTATAGCACAGAGATCGAATTCAGGACTTCTTACATGAATGCTACAGTCTGACCGAATCTCTATTTCATTGGTTTCTTTTTAGTAAATATATATATACATGGTTAGACAATAACAATTAAAACTTTTATCACGAATTTAGTTTCTAAATTATGATATTAATTCTTACCTGATTATTTTTTGAAGTTTGTGAAGGGTTCGTTTCTTGTCTAATATTTCTGGCAATAGATGGTCGGCCCTAGAAATTTTTGCATTTAATATTTGTAGTATAAATAACTATTAACAAGACTAGAAAATTTATTTTTTATCCAGTTACCGAAATCTCAAATATTAATTCATTAATTTCTTCTTCTGGGTCAGAATACTCATCTGAGGGTAAGATATCATATTGCAATAATTTCTTTTTAAATTTTCATATTATTTTTTTTTAGCTATTTTTCATTAAATAACATAGTTTCATAGCAATTTTACCTTAGCATTAGATTTTGTGCTTTGTGTTTCATTTACTTGAGTGATTTCCTTTTTGAATTTGTTATAAAAAGTTTTTAGTTTATTTTTTAATGTATTTTTGATTCTAATATTAAAAAAACTACATAATATTCACAAATAAAGCTGGCAATTTTACCTGAATATTAGGTTCTACAACTTGTATTTTATTTACTTGATCAATCTCGATGGTATTGGACTCAAGGCTTGAAGGTTGGGGTGTTGACAGTATGTTAGCTAGTTTATCCAGATCATCACCGTCCTGTAAATATTCTCTCTCAGACACTTCGAAGCTAGATCCTATATTTGTTTCTTGAATGATAGCATTTTTTATAAATCATAAATTTAGTAAAAAAAAAAAATAGATACAGCATTAAAACATTTTATTTTTCAACAACATTTGATACTCTTA